CGCACATGCGTGTTTTTCCGAATGGAAGTCGGTCAATTCTCTGCGGGTCAGCGGGTCTGAAAGGGCTAACTGCGGTATCAGGTGACCTTGAGGCAGCTGACCTTGAACAAGGACGCCGAACAAAGCAATGTTGGGCGTCGGCTACACACCCTTTGCGCATACATGGTAGTTTTGATGGAATCGCCACTATTTATCTCCGTGATCTATAATTCAGACGTGTCAAATTCCTGAGGCCTAGATCGAATAAGATTACTTCCATTTTTGAGCTCAATATGATCAAAATATTTTCTGGTGCACTTTAGCCACAAAATATGCAGATGCTGATTTGCCAAGAGCCTCTACTGGGTTCAAATGTGACACTTGGCTTTGTGTTCATAATTTTAATGAAACAATATATTTGGCAATTTAATTATCCTTGAGAATAATAAAACCGCTAAATGCACCTCATTTGTCCCTGCTCCTTTCCGTTTAGTGCATCTTCTTCTTCTCGTACGTCTGGTCAATCGGTTCGACGAAAGATGAGGTCGGTCGCAAGCGTTTCGATAAACTCACACGGGAGCTGATAAATGGAGGCATGACAGAGGAGACGCGGCATACTCTATCCCTCGTTGAGTTAGTTCCGCCACCAATGCAAGATTATAAAATGCCTTTCCCCATCAAAGGCAGTGTCTTTGACTACCAACTCACCTTCACAGTAAGTTTGTGATAAGTTTGTATGCTAGCATATTCTAATATGCGCAAAAATATGAGGTTCAGATATCTTATCAGTTTCATCATCCCCCAAAGAAGACGAAGAAGAAGGTTAAAGTACATAAACCGAGTTATATTGATACTGATGTTTCGGACATTCACTTTTTTCCATCGTCAAAGTAACGGGATGGTTGTTCCTGCTTGCCGGGACTGTTGCTGCCTTGCTGCATGCCTTGTATTATATCGGTGCTCGACGCACGAACTTTGACGTGTATGTTCTCTGCTGACTGACCGTGAGATTGACCGCTGGGGGGCACGTGTGACTTTTGTCCCCTTTGTGGTTGTCGTAATTGTTGGCAAGTCAGTGCGCTTACTGACCTGTCCCTCGTCAACCGACAAACTAATCACTTGTTGCTGCCCGCGTGAGTTCATGTTAACCTCATGGGCACGGCAGTGAGGTAGTGGTCCACGTTGGTTACGTGGTATCTGGTCGACTCCTCCCCTATTTCCCTCTGGTCTCAGTCGTACTCCACGCCTGGGTCTGCTTCGCCGTCCTGTTGGCCTTGTTTGAACTGACTCGAGCCGTTTGCGTACCGCCTGGTAGGCAGGATGAAGGTCTACAGCTCTGTTAAGTGTGCCAGTCGAAGGAAAATTTTCCAGCAGGAGTCTAGCCATCTTGTCATTGGCTCGGCCTATTACTCTTGCTTTTTCTAAGGCAAATATATGGTTCTTCTCCTGTACGTGTTTACAGACCATAGACAACTTATCCTTGCGGTTGATTGCCAGCTGGTACCCATGCAACCTGGTGTCAAGGCGTATGCCCGTTTCACCGACATGCTTTGCATCCCAGTCTTGACATGTTATGCTCTCGACCACAGCTGACTGTTCTTTCAACGGTAGCTGGTCTTCGGGCCTCATGATCTGCTGCCTGATGATTGATTCCGGCTTGTGAGGCACACCGATCCCGAATGGCTTCAGGGTGCTTCCAGTCGCCTCGGATACGTTCTTCACATAAGGGATAGCGAACTAAAACTTGGGGTCTTCTCCTTTCGACCGCTCAAGGTAAGGGCTTCTTAAGACACTTGTGTATGAAGGATTTTAGATAACCGTTGGCTTCAAAGAGGACATTTAAGTATTTAACCTCCTTATCCTCCTCCTTCCTACTGTCGTCGCTGCAGGATGTATGAACGCGTTGGAGGAAGGTCCTAACATAACTGCGTTTGTGCCCAACAGGGTGGTTGCTTCTGAAGTGGAGGATGCGCATGGTGTTGGTTACCTTACGATAAATCGTCGTCCTTATCTTCCCGTCTTCTAGCATATTCTATATGCATGTAGATGTGTACATATGCCACTCAGAGAAATGTTAAAGGGTTCGTTTTGCTATTGAATAGCATGAACTTTAAAGCTAATCCTGGTGTTCAAACATACGAGCATGTGGATCTCACACTGAGTCGTTCCTAACGGTTTTAAGGTAAAAGCGTAAATCTAGAAGGATAATCGACGGGCATACGTAGGCTGTTGATAAATTTCCTTCGGGCCATTAGATTTATTTGGGAACGGGGTACCAGTTAAACAAACGGTCAATATTATTTGTCCTTTCATACAAGCGCGTGGTGGGAATCGGGGAACAGGGGTCGATAAGATAAGTATGGTTACGCAGAATATGTGTCATGGAACCAGTCTAGAGGAGGGGGGAAGAGGGGGAGAGGAGGGGGACGAAGAGAGCGCAGACGAGTGCATGCAGCTAAGGGACTGTGGGCCATGCCAAACGAGGAGCTTGCAGGAGGTTACTTTGCGAACACAACGCTGGCTTCCCTTACCCTGATAGCGGTCGCTTCTGCTGTTGCTAGTAGAGGCTGACCTAGGGACTTTGGTGGGACCTTATAAATGACCTTGAACGCTTCGTCGGGATCCACACGATGTCCAAAATCAATAATATGGGCGAGAATGGTACTGTTTTTGTTTCTGACTTCACCCTTGCTCAACCACGCTGGGAGGAGCTCCCGTATTCTTTTGGATAAGTGCCGGCTCATGCGACCGATATATCCTGCTTCGAAGGAGCAAGAAAATGAATAGATGCACACGGAGGTGGTCTGAGCTGGCAACCTTCCCCGTGCAGGACCGGGTTGATCGAGAATAATACCCGAACTCTCGCTGCTGGGAAGGTTCGTGACACGGCTTGGTCAAGGCGTCTTCTTGGGAGTGTGCAGTGCTAACATGCGACTTCTCTTGATTCAT